AAAACGATGATAAATTGATACTGAAGCATGCCAGGTCTCCAGAAATCGTCATCAGCTTGCTTCTAAGCAACTACCCGAACAGTGAGCCATTGACAGCCTTGTCAGCAATTAATAGCTAGAAGCAAACTTAGATTATGCACAGTTTACAATTGTATCTGCTTGTGTTGGCTTAGGCACAATACATACGGACGTTTGACTGTTCTGTCGTACAGATATGACGGGCTTGGCGCAGTAGGAAGTAAGCGCTTCTATGTAGGGAGACCAATCGGTCTCCGATTCGTTTTGATGGTAAATTGGCATTGATATATGCCCTGAAGTCAAACCCACCATCAGCTTGGTTGTAAGTAAGTAACTCTCGAGAGAGTTAACCATCGACATTTTTACCAGCGTGTGGTTGCTATTGGCATTTGCTACTACTCAGGCTACTTCACGACTGCCTTCTCGTGTCTATGAAAGCGGCCAGGGAGGGGTTCTTTGCTTTTGGCTTTTGATCAATATATAGTTGCTTAGATTATTTGCCTCTTCTGTCTTTTGGGGCGGTCTCTCATCACTCACATCCTGCCTTCTCTGTAAGTTACCGGCTAGTGTTGTAATTTTTGTTGGTAATCCTAAAAGATGACAAAATTCACGCCAAAATGTTCAATAGCAGTTCATTTTTGCGTGAAAATTCGGCTTTTATCAGAAATATACTTTTTGCAGGGTCACTTCTTTTGGGCTCAGTAATTGGTTGCGTTACGGCATTGATCGCTAAAATGACACAAATCAAAGAATTCCCTCTGCTCGAATCGGCTTTGTTCATACTTCTCTCCTATTTCTCATTCCTTCTTGCCGAATTTGTCCAATTGACAGGTTTGTTTCTCTTGGAAATTTTTTTTTCATCAGTCAAAGCAGCTGAAAAAATTGCTAGCTGTGGAACTGGAGAACGATGCAGTGGGCTACAGCTGAATAAAGCATTAGCGTGGTTTAATAACCCAAACTTGAGAGGGTGAAACAAACGTCTGAGTCATCAGCAGGTGATCACTAGGCGATGCAGCATTATTCAAAACATCTAAAAAAGTTTACAGCTTCATTGTTGGAGAATCATGCTGTAAATTAAAGTTGTTCCCCATGTTCTAAATGTATCAGTTTATAGCATCATGCTGTGATTTGAGTTTACCAGCATTGCTTGGAGCGTTTGAGAGGAGCTCAGAAAGCGTTGAAGTAGAAAATATGCCAGTGTGTTAATATGTTAGATCCTTCTGGCATCAGCTGCATATTTCTTTTTGTCTTTTTGACAGAAATACATGCCATATCTTTGGAGAACATTCAGCAAGCCATTTTTTCCCCGTTGGTTTTACTCAATTGATACATTGCTTTTACTGCCTCACCTATTGGATCGATTTTCTCTTGTGATAATAATGATAGCCTTGTGCATCACTCACAGGCCAATCTAGACTGGGAGAGGGGGACGGGGTCTTATCTATTGTTCTCTATTACTCTTTAAGGTTAAAAGAGAACTGTATAAATGCTGTTGGAAAATATAAGAAAGGATGATAGAAAAAATAAACCCAGGCTGGAACGCACCAGGCGGGCCGGTGCGATTATGCGTTTTTGCACTTCTCGTGCCGTAGCAAGATCGCAAGGAAATAAGTGTAGCTAACCCTGTGAAATACTGGCCCTCGGAGTTCGGAAGTAAATTGTGCAACTATGTGGTATGTCAGTTGTGAGTATCCCTGCAAAGTACTGACCCTCGAAGTTCGAGAAGTTAATTATGCAACTATATGGTATGTCAGT